CCCCCAGGGGGGGGGGCCCCCAGAGGGGGGGCCCCCAGGGGGGGGGCCCCCTTCTCCCCCTGTTGGTGTTGCTGAGTTTTCTTTGCTGCGTCAAATGCTACGGTTTTCGTTTAGTAACGAAAAAGAAAAAGAAGAAAGTAATGAGGGTGTTTATAGATTTCTTGTTGCTCTTAATGGGAGATATAAATGCAAGGGACCCCTGCAGCAGCAGCAGCAGCAGCAGCAGCAGCAGCAGGAGCAGCAGCAGCAGCAGGAGCAGCAGCAGCAGGAGCAGCAGCAGGAGCAGCAGCAGGAGCAAACGAATCCAGCAGAAAGTAAGAAATATAATAATAAGTTGCTGCAGCTCAGCTGCGGTGTACAGGCAGCTCGTGTTGCCCTCCACACACCTGTTTCAGGGTCTAGGGTTTAGGGTTTAGGGTTTAGGGTTTAGGGTTTGGGGGTGGCGTGCAGGGGCGGAAGACTCGATGGACACGGACGGAGCGCCAGCAGCAGCAGCAGCAGGAGAAGCAGCAGCAGAAGAAACAGCAGCAGCAGAAACAGCAGCAGCAGCAGCAGCAGCAGGAGGAGATTCATCTGACGTTGCTGCAGGTGCAGCAGCAGATGCAGCAGCTGACTCAGCAGCAACCGACGCAGCAGCAGCAGCAGCAGCAGGAGCAGCAGCAGGAGCAGCAGATACAGGTTCAAATGGAGTTGAATGTATAGACGAGGACAGAGAAGAAAAAGAAGAAGAGAAAGAAAAAAAAATAAATATATTTGTTGCTGATGTTTCTATGCTGCAGCACTGCAGCACAGACACCGCAGGGGCCCCCTGGTGTCTCGATGATATATTAAAACTTTTTGTGTTTTCTCTTCTTTCTCTCGGCAGCAAAACACAAACTCATTTACACCGAGTTTTATCTAATTACGCCAACACTTTCCGTCTCTACGAGCAGCAGCAGCAGCAGCAGCAGCAGCAGCAGCAGCAGCAGCAGCAGCAGGAGCAGGGGCGGGAGCAGGAGGGGGAGGTGCAGATGCAAGAGGAGGAGGAGCAGCAGCAGCTGCAGCAGCAGCAGCAGCAGCAGCAGCAGC